CCCCTCATCGACGCAGCACCACAGTTTCTCTAGAAAAGTACCCCATTACAAATTATTAGATTATTAGGTTTTATTTGGTTACAATACATTTCTTCGCTCATTTTTTACAAAACTTTATTTTTGTAGATATCAATCATTCCTGTCACATTCTTCTTCAAAAGCCTGAATGATGTAAAGAACTGCATTGAAGATGACCTCAAAAGAAACTATTCAGATGTTAAACCCAGTCTGGTAAGGAAAGAAAAAGCACATCACATTGCTAAGGAGATTAAAAAAAAATAAAAACAAGTTTACAAATTTCATTTTGAAGTGACACTCCTGATTTCTGCTGTTCTGTCTTAAGTTGCAAAAAAATACTTCTTAAATTAGGCTTTAGTAAATAAACTCAGAGATTTACTTTTTGGTTAAAGTGTACTCTATTTATAAAGCTGCTGAAATGTGTAATAACAATTTTTTTTCTCTTTGTGCACGGCTTACCAGGACTCCAGTTGTATTGTGGACCATGCCATACTCTACACTTGCTGTCCTTTCCTTAGTACGTATAAGAAACTGTTTTATTTTGTAGGAAGTAACCACAGAGTAACGTAATAAGTAACCCCTAGAGCACATTTCAGTCATGTGTTGTAATGCCATTGTTAAAGCAATCACAACAGTCATTCAGAGAAAGTTAAGAATTAATGTCACAGATGGAACATGTTGGGAACATTAGTTCTTTGTTTTGCAGGTGTAATAAGAACAGTGTTAGTGGAAGCAGCAGCTGGAATGTCTGGAAGATCAGGTATTGTGCCGTTCATCAACCTTTGTTCAACAAGTTAATATTTAAAAGGTGGTGTTATTCGGTGAATGACACAAGTACACTTTAAGAAAAAAGAACACAGAGTGCTCCCATTAGGAGTCGAACCTACTTTTTGCTGGTTATCCCCCACCGTTTTATCAGGCTTCCATGAAGATTTGCCAGTACTCAATTTATACTCCCGGGTGGAAAGAGGCACTGTGAGAGGAAAGTGTTTTGCCCAAGAACACAACACAGTGATCTGGCCAGGACTCGAACCCAGACCTCTCGACCCTAGCGAATCACTATTAGGCCACATACATCTCCCACATCTGGTTTACACCTAAGAAAAATTCACACTTAATAATTGGGAAATCTCTTGAAAATGAGACGTTTCCAATCTTTTTTTTTCCAGCATGTAAAACTGTACATTTCTGTTATACATGTTGCTTTTAATGTCCGTTCATTCAGGATATTCAATGGCCGTCCTTGGAATACAGTGACTGGTAATATCAGTCAGTTTTGCTGAGATACAAGCTTTTAATTTTTCTTTTTTTATATATTTAGGCCCAGTTAAAAAGATAACACCAGTTTCCGCTGGCGAACCTTCCAGCAGATCATCTTCCCACAAACAGTTGCAGGTGAGATTTTTCGCGTAAGAACTGTTCGGGGTTGATCATGAGTACGATCTCGGTGAGCAGTTTTATTGGATAAAATGTTACCAGGCTAAAATTCCTCAAAATGCCCTAAGATTACTTTATTTATGACATCTGAAATTCCTTGAAACACATTTTGATGTTGTTGATTCTAGTGACTAATAATCATTATTCTTTGGATCCACCGTTGTTGATCGAAAAAGAAGAAAAATGCGAGTAACAGTATCTCAAAGCAATATAAGATTGAGTGGTAGAGAAATTTTCAATTGAGTTTAGAAAGTGGTCAGATATTATTTGGTTTTGTTTTACTTCGCCGTGCGATTGGTTCAGAAACTTGCGCAAACCTCTCAACCAATCAGACGCAAAATGAAAACTTTGTCATCCGCGTCTTCCCGCGCTTTTTCGCAGTTTGCCTGGTTTTACATTGAATTCTCATTTGCTAAACGAATCACCGTTTTCATCGACCGGTTTAATTATTTTGGTTTTGGTTGTTCAAGACTTAGTTGGAAACGGTTTTAAAAGAACTCTGAATGTAGATTGATTATCGGTATTCTTGACTGCATAATAACATGGAAGACTTGCACCATCCTCTCCACTCATCAGATGCAAAACTGAAACAGATTTTGACTTTGTCACTGGCGTTTCTCTCAAATTGCGTCACCCTATCATATAATTTGGTTGTTGATATTAGCTTCGTTTTATTTTTGCAACACGCAGTCAAAACTTAAATTTGGTTAGATTTCCTTCTCTTCATTACACCAACTAAAAAACGTTGTGATGACATCTACACTTTGTGTTTTTCTGGGAGTTCGTTTCCCCATATCTGAAGTTTTAACATCATATTAGAAACCTCTAATTCATTAAGTAAACCCTTTGCTCCCTAAAATCAGTATGGATATTCTCCATACTGTTCTCTAGACATTTTCCAAGGTGTTGGCAAGGAGAATTTGTTCAACGGTCATTTCTTTTGTTCTCCCGAATTCAGTGTTTGCTCCAGGAGTGATGCTCTAAGGAGAAATTAGATGCCCGATCCTCTTCAGGGTTGAATGGCTATGTTGTTTCAAACTCAGATGGTCTCCTTTCGGTTTTGTCTTTTTTGATAGCTTCAGTTGGAAGAAAACTTTTTTCGCATTCAGCCTGATTTCCTGAAGAGACTATCTGATTTTACTGTGGAAAGGCAAGTGTTTCTTTTATTTAGCTTTTATCAAATAAACCGTCCGGTCCCGTGTTCGCAAATCCATATAAGACAAAAGTGAATGCCCTGTGCTCACACAGCTCTTTTGCATTTTCCGAAAACGTGAATTGAAATTTTGGGCTTCAGCTTGAAATAAAACAACTGGGAAGATGAGTTACGCTTATTGAAGTTTTTTTGTTTTGACTCGTAGAAAAATTTTTACCGTTGAATCTCTTTCAATTAGTTGTTGTCTAGTGCGCGCCCTTCTTTGGCATGCAAGTGCGTCCTATAAGTTTGAAAAAAACATTTTTGATGCGCTCGTTCCGTCCATTATGTCTTCGTGCCAGACCTCGTGTCGTTTCCCTCCGACCAAAGTCGGTCAGTAAGTGCATAACAGTATATGGCTCAGATCAGATGGACGATTGATTACTCTGGTGCATGTAGAAAAAAAAACTGGCCTTCATAATCAGGCCTAAAAAACATTTGACTTGTTTATTTCAGGTTATGCAGCAATATTATATCTCACATTAAAGGAGGTATAACTCCCTCCCTTTTGAATGAAGGAGGTAAAAGAATTCAAGCGTTCTTGGATAGTGAATTCTCCGCCAACACCAACACCGATCAGGCAAAGGTAACGTCGCTGATTTCAGTGTTGATTTCTTATACTTGCCATCCAACTAACACTCTTTAGAGAGTATGTTTGCAATGCAATATTGATAGGTAGTTATGTGCAAAAAAAAAAGAAGAAAAAATTTCATCTCAATGATTTTCAGTTCGAGAATGAGTTACGTAATACGTACATCGGGGAAATCTGGGCAATTAAAAGGTGAGGGTTTCAATAAATTTTTCCCTGAGCGGCTGCCGATGTCCCGGGTGTTATGGGCAGCTGTGCCGTGAGGAGAAACCTAAACAGACGGCAATGAGAGGTCTCTAAACGGCGTTATACTACCGGAAAAAAGATTTACTTAAATTTCCTATTCGCAAACCCCTCAAAGTAAAGTTTTTAGTCTTATAACTTTATAAAATTTACTCAGAACTTTACCTCACAGCGCGTTTAATAACTTAACGTCCCCAAACAAAGACACAACTACAAAAAACGCTTTTGAGGTTTTGGAATTGTTTAAATTTATTCCACTAAATGAACAAATGGGTTTTTTATGATTTGTCAGGAAAAGTGCAGACCTCATGTCCTCAAGATCATTCACTCTGTGACTGATGATGGTGTGAAAACAGCCTTGGAGACCTTGGAGTTAGTGACAAATTTCAGACTTATTTTTGCAGCCATAATAATAAGCATGGAGCGATTTCATTCCAAATTAAAGTACTGGTATTTTTGATCAGTAGAACAGGGTAGTTTTCAACTGTCTGGATAACTTGAAATCCAGTTAGGGTATGACTGTAGTTAGTATATAATAACAAAGTGGATAGAGTGAAAGGCGCGCCCTGATCGGCTTATCAAACTCCGATCATCCGTTCCTATTTACCTCCGAGCAACTCGCGCGGGATTTGCGCCCGAAAATTTTGTAATCTTTGCAAGAATAAATGAATTAAAGTTATTTTTTGTGGTATATTATCTCACTGTCTGAGTATATACTACAACAACAAGCCGCTTCCACTTCAGTAAAAAGTTTTAACGAGCAGCGTGAAGTATTTGGTGAATTTTTGTAGCTTGACAAGGTTAGAACTTTAAGAAACTAAAGCACCGATTTTAAACACAAATTATTGATTTGGCTCATATTTTCATCTGTAGATCCTGTAAGGAGAAGAGCTTGAAAGCCTTTCAAAGCCTTTGTCCTCAGGAAATGAACTCCAAGGTAAGAACAGATAATGACACTGCAAACCCCATTTTATTCCGTCTCTGTTGTCATATCATGAGCACGATGCTCACAACATATTCAAGGTCAGTCAAAATATGGAACCATGCGTATGATTTTAGACCAAATTGCATTCCAATAAACTGAATTACTCTTACTATTTTTGTTTGTTTCAGGTTGTTACGACAGCAGCAAATATTACTACAAGACTCGTTAAAGAAAAAACCATGGATTGGATTAACACATCTTTTCCAAGTGAGATTTCCGTTTGCTTTAATAGAAGTATAAAAAATGCTGTTCCCTTAAGAAAAATAATGGTAAAAATGGTGGCAGATGGGATTTAAACTGAATTTCTTGGGTTTTCCCTCCTGTGTTCCCCAATCAGGAAAAAAATCTTGTTAGCAATTGCTCTTGTTTGCGTGGGGTTCCTGTGCTTGGTTTGTGATGTCTATTTCCTTTATTTTTCATCGATGTATAGTGTCGTTTACATTTGTATCCATTGCTTGTCGTAATGATATCGAATTGAGCTTTTCAGGAATTGAACCAAAACTGCTCTTCCATTCACAGACCTTATGGAGGAGGAACTATTTGCTCAGTTTAATAAGATAGCAAACTCTATTATGCATTTAAAAACCAAGGAACAGAATGGGAACGGAGAACCTGATCCACACAATAAGGATATGACAAAAATATCTGAAGTGAGGAGTGAAAGGCACGTGAAATGTGGTGAACCAGTTGGAGTATCAGGCGAGAATATTAATCCTGCCATGAAAATCAAGGCGTTACAGGTATAGCGAACTTATTTTATGGAGTAACCACAACTGACTAAATGGTTCGGCGGTTGACAGATTCAAGGACTGACTGACAAAACTCTGACACGTTAACTGGTTGGCTCTCTAAAGGACAGACAGGACAGGCTGTATGACCGACTGACCAGCTGATTTTTACGCTGACTGGTTAGCTGTCATACGGGCAGAATAATAAACAGACTGACTGACCGGCTGACTGGGTGTCTGGGAGATTTAGTGTTATCAACTTAGTTGATAACGTAAATTGGCTACCGTAAAGAGTTACAGCGCTAACATTTTGAGCGTTAGCTCGTCGTCAGAGCGATTGGAGGAATTGTGGGTTTTGCGTGTGTTTATATGCAGAAAATGGAGCTATGCTATTGCTGGGAATATGGTGACGAGAAAACAAGAATAAATTAGTTGAATTTAAAGCGCTCGTTGATACGGTGGGGATTAAGTGTGCCGATTGAAAAGATAAATTTTTGTACCAGAGTTTTGCGGCTTTCTGAACTGCCGAGATGTAGGGATAGGCCGCAAACTGCCATATGCTGCTTAGAATGATTAGGGAGATTAAACTGTCTAGCGACTGGTTTGGATGCGTCCTTGTCATTTCTTTCTACGTCTCAAAGGTGATCTCGGAATCGGTCACCAAGTCGTCTTCCTGTTTCACCGATGTTTAACATTTGCAACTAGTACAAGTTATGCAGTAGATGACATTAGTGAAGGTGCACGTGAAGTGATTAGAGATCTTAATGGATCTCTTAGGTCCCGACATTTTCTCTACGTTATGAATGAAAGTACAAGTTTTTTCTTTCGTAACGTAACGCGCTTTTCATTCAACTAATTTATTTTTGTTTTCTCGTTACCATATACGCTCGTGGTGGGAATATGCTGACTGACTGATTGACTGGCTGACTCACTGACTGACTGACTGACTGACTAACTGTCTGACTGACTGACTGACTGAATGTGTGGCTTTCTGACAAGCTGATTGACTGACTGACTGACGGGCTGGCTGACTAACAGACTGGCTGGCTGGCTGACTGATTTACTGGCTGACTGATTGACTGGCTGACTGACTGACTGACTGACTGACTGACTGACTGACTGGCTGGCTGACTGACTGGCTGACTAACTGACTGGCCGACTGACCGGCTGGCTGGCTGGCTGACTGCCTGACTGGCTTGCTGACTGACTAGTTAGTTGTCTAACGGACCGACCGTCAGACTGACTGACCTGCTGGCTGGCCGACAAACCGACTGAATTAGCAACGCTTTTATTGACTATTAGACTGGTTGCCCGCATGACTTACAAAATATACAAACTGCTCATTTATTATCGTCCTGACTGTCTTCCTGGAATTATAACGATTAAAACTCTCTTTTTACCTAATTTCCATTCTTAGGCGGTCCTTTCAGAACAATCAAAATTACTTGCAATGCATTCATCAAATGGTATGTAAATCCTTGATTTCAACATGCATCTTCTCCTTCTTGTGCGTAAAATACTTTTACGATTACGAGCTGTGAGAATACGATTGCATACTTAAAACTCTCGTGATGATCAGTATTTTGACCTCATATCATAATTGCTGAATTTGTTTTGACATTTTATGGAGAAGTGAGATTTCACTGAGTAAGGCTCCATCTCAGATCAATGAAGAAGAACAAGTTAACGCTCTAAACTGTAAATACCATGGAAGTTCAAGCGCAGAGGTATCAATCTTTTGACAGGTCATTGTCCGTTTCTTTTCGTTGCAGAGATACCATCTGAGGCAGTAGACGCTGTTAGGGTAATTCAGGACGCTTTGATGGACGAGGTTTGGGATTGTTTTTTCGGTAAAAATTATGAAGGTTAAATGTAAAAAGTATTTTGCTTAGTGACTCTCAAAGCAGATTCGCCAGTGGCCGCTCGGGGTCCTACAGAGAGATTGAATCCTTTACGCCCTAACATCAGCATATATATTCTCCATACTTTTCCCTATACATTTCTTGAAGGGCTGTTAAGGAGAAACTGTTTAACAATCAACGGCTTCTGCAGGTGGTGATCATTTCCTTTATTCTTGCAACTCAAATGTTTGATTCATGACTGACATTGTAAAGAGAAGTTAGAAGCTTATCACTCGTAGGGGGTTAAAGAGTTAATTGTTGTGCTCAAGAGCGCGAAATCCAAAATCTTTGTCGAAACTATAATCTCGTAGCCGTGATTTGTGTAGAAGACGTGAACCATTATTCTTCCACATTTTAGTGTTGAGCAAGGGCCCTTTGTTTTTTAGTGACGTTATTATTTGTGCAACCCACGAGTTTGTTTTCCCTAACAGTTTCGCTTCACTGATTTTCAGGGTCAGTTGGCGTTGATTGGGCAAATTACTGTTGAATTGGTTTTTATTTTAGGTGAGTGTCGAAGTGATTTATTCTTCCTCTCAGTGCTTTATGTTTATTAGTAACAAAGTAACATCCTATTTGGACGAAGGAGATCAGAATGCATAATCCATTTTACTACACCTCCGCCTGAAAGGCATTTTAGTGTACTGTGAATATGCGTTATTAACCAAGCGTGAGGTTCATCTCGGTCCATGAACACGGAAAAAACACCGCGGCTAATATCCAGCCATCTTGACCGAACATGCTTGGTCAATGAAGGATTTATTATATAACAAAAAGATTGTCTTTAACAGAAGGATTGTCGCTTTATTAAAAATCGAGACTTGTTTATCTCGAGAGACGGAAAAGAAAACGAACTGTTTTTGTGACCCAATAAAGCCACGAGAGTCGTTTATGTTTTCTTTGTTTTGACTGTCTTCTGCCGCTTCTTGCGACTCTAACGCCGACATTGTTCAAAAATCACGCTCCAAGTAATTTCTTTTTTTCTTGGGCAGGGTCAAAGCGGGCAATCCCGGGTGGACAAGATGGGTCCATCTTGCCCGCTTGGGTAGCCAATCAAAACACAGGATTCGCTTCATATTGCCCTCATTGGCATTGCCAACGATATAAAAAGGCTTCTTATTAAAATTTCATACCTTGCTAACTTGGTCTCCTTGACAGTTCCGGTTCAAATTTCCCGTCCTACCTAGACGAGGTTAAAATTCGCCACTCCCGGGCACAAGCCACAGTCAGATGCCCGTGGGTTGCCGGGGGGGTGTTGAAGCTTCGAATTGATCGTTGCTTAATACGCTGCCAATCTATGCCAATATTTGAATTCTAGAGATCTGTGGTTTGCTATATAGACTGACGCTAACAAATTGTTTTCGTCTTCTCAACAGCGTGTAGAACTGCACACGGGGTGAAATTTGTTACAAAAAATTGCGCACAAAATTGTTGTGATGTCGTCGACAACCTGTGCCTATTATGGAGCAAGTTAAAAGGTAGCTTAGCCCTCAACATCTGATCATTCGTATCCACAGTCTCCATACCGTTCTCAATACATTTCTCATGGTACGTTCGAGGAGAATCTATTTAGTGATTATTTTGTTCATTCTCGTGACCTTGATGAAAGAATCGGGTATGATAACGTGAGGAGAAATTGGATGCTATTTACTCTAAGACGTTCAAGGTTGAGACAATTTCTGTGGCTCTGATCTGATTACACGGCACTTGGTAGGGCATTTGAACACAGTTTTGCCTAAAGGGAATTTGAACGAACCAATTTTCAAAAGTTCAAATGATTGGGGGGTTGCTTCAAATTGATTGACGCATAAATTACCGCAGTGTTTAAACAACCGGGACCCAAGTGACAAATTCAAATTTTACATTCGCAATTTGAAATAACTTGCAATTATTGCTCGTAAGGTCCCACATTGCTTTTAAAAGTGATTTCCCTTCTGCAACCCCCAACAGTATTTTAGGTTTCGGCATTAATATATGGTTTGATGTTGGTGAATTTTTTTCCTTGTAGAAAGGCGTGTGGCGGTTCCCTTTGCAGGACTGCTTTCCATTCCCCACGTGAACCTGATCATGTCTTTGGAGAACAAACGGGTATGGAGTTAAATCAACGATAAATATTCCTTTTTGTTGTTGTTACAAACGAACTAGTTACTTTTCATTTTACAAGGATCTCTCGCGTTGCAGATACCTCGTTGTGTAAGGACAGCGGCTAAAATCCTCCATGAAATTTTTAGTATTTGAATGTAGCAAATAATCGCTATTACTGCAAATGAGTCAAGGGTAAAATATTGTTCATTTTTTGTGGTGCGAGTTGTTTGATTAAGCGGCGTAACTGGTGTAATTTCAGGTCGTGTGGGATAGTCTTCAAGATTTATTTCTTACGCTGATGGACAAACAACTGGTTCGTGGATATGAGGTCGAGCAGTGTTACATTGGTGCTTTGGGAAGCGTCACAGACGAGGTTAGATGCTTACAGGAAAGGTGTTACTCGAAACGTTTCTCTCCTTTTGTTTGTTTGTTAAGTCCATTGTTTGCTCGCTTGCTATAAGGTATTGGTCCTCCTCCCGGTAGAAAAGGGTGTATTATTGACAGGAAATCGTTTATTTGCAAATTGTTTTCAGTTGGATCTTTCTGTATCTTTCTGTGTTTTCCCAGTGAAGATTAAAATTTGTTGTTTATTCGTTCGCGCGCTAAAAACAAATTCCCAGCGGTTTCTTGGCTGGAAGGAAATCAGCTTGGTAGCTTAAAAAGAACATGCTGTTAGTGAATATGCAAGCGTTCAAGGTGCAATGGCAGGAAACAGTTTGATAAGACAAAAAGTGTGACTTTTTTTTTGTCCCTTAAAGAGTTTGAAACAGAAGGGAATTGCAAGTACTTGTTAAAACCTATAATTCTTTAACTCCCATGTGTGACCAAGACATAATTTCTTCTAACTATATCTATACAAATTCAAGCAGGCAAGTGATGAGAAGAAAGAAAAAAAATCAACAAGGGGATCATTAGTTGATCCAATACCAAATTCTCTGAACTAACATCACAAGAATTGTATGGCAGACAGTAAGGAGAATTACTGAGGAGGTCTAGGGAGTGAAACTGATCGGTTAAGCACACTGCTTAACATGAACAGCAGAAAATTGTGCAACCAACGAAGCTTTGGGTGAATTGAATAAAGTTTTATTGTGGTATCTTTCTTACATTTTGAAGGAAACTTCTGTTGAGATTGGAAGAGCATCTTGTTCTTTGATGTTGGCATATCACGAAGGAAGCAGACAGACAGGTATTGAGAATTGAACGGATAATGGTTCAATATTCAACCACAAGCTACTGTGACCAAAATGTCTCGTTATGTAATATGTCGCTGCCTACACTGCACAGTACTTCAGTAGATCCGGAATTTTGTGAAAGTCAAAGGGAGGGCTTTCAATAACACAACTCCAGCTGAAAGACGGCGGGGTTGATTCCGAACAGAGGACCTCAGATTCGAGGATTTTTCACAAGATGAGAAGGAAAGGCAAAGTGGCAAGCAAGTACCCGGTTGGGAGGGATAAGATTACAACGGCTTGCCTCACCATCGGGTGATAAGAGAAATTTCCTATTGAGTGTCGAAAACCAATACCAAGGTAATTCCAGTGTCCAATCAGAAATAAGCTTTACCTTATCAGAAGGCAGCCAATGAGAACTCAAAGTAAAAACAAGGAAACTGTTTGAAGCGCGGGAAAACGCAAATGACCAAGTCGCGGTTGATTTTAGTTTTACATTTAATTGGTCGAGAGGATTGCGCGAGTTTTCTGGACCAATCATTGAGCAAAGTTTAGTAAAACCGAAGCAACGCCTTATAACTTCACTTTCGACACTCAATTGAAAATTTCTCTATATGTCAAGTTGCTTAATGATGAACAATGTTTTGCTAGCTCATGTTATTCATTGTCATTTAGATTCGCAAGATGAAACCCGCAGGGCTGTTCATCAGTCTGAGTTTTCCCTTCTCCTTCCTGTTCTGAACCAGAAGTTTTCAGACAACGCTGTTTTGTCCAGTTTGTTGAGAGACTGCATCAAGAATAACTCTGGGGTCATTCTAATGTCAGAACTTTCTGCTGTGGAGTAAAAGACCTCTTTTCCCTCTGCGGTTTACAATTACACATATAAAGATAATGCATGGAAGGTTAACGAACACAGAGTGTGGTCTATGATTGAGGACAGACGAACCGACTTTTCATACTGATCTCTGTTGTAATTTTCTTATGTCATTGACCGAGCGGACTCTTTTTTAAAATTTGTCTAACAGTCGGTGTTGCGAGTTGCAAACTGTTCTGTAACGGGAGAATTTAGGCAACATGAAGTATTTCTGACGACTTCGTCAGCGGTTCAAATGAACTTGTCTCAGCCCACTACGATAAGAAAACAATCTATGCTTTTTCAGGAAAAATAGTTTAAATCACAAACAACAGAAATAATTTTTTTTACGAATAATACAGAAATAAATATAGAATCGGGCAACTCAAATTATCTTAATTTATACTTGCAAAGCTGCTAAGACTGAGCATAATATTGCCATTTCACCAAATTTGTACATAGTACAGGAAGTAAAACCCAGCATAAGTGTTTTTAGAGTAAAGATTGTGGTTGTTGGGGTGAATGACATTGTCCTCCTCCTAAATGCAATTTTCACTTGAGTTTTGACTTGTTGTGTGCGTGGTCTACAAAATCCTCGCCAACTTCTCAATCAATAAAAAAAATAAAGCAATTTTTAAATCAATGTCGAAAGTTGTACGAGATACCCTTGGTTTCGCTTTACTTCGCTCTGTGATTGGTTCAGAAAATTCGCACCACTTTCTCAACCAATCAGATACTAAACGGAACCTGGTGCCTCGCTTTTTCCTGCACCTTGGACGCCTTGTATTTACCTTCAGTTCTGATCGGCTCCTTATGATACTTTCTAATTGTCTGTTGTGATTATCCTCCTTTTGGTTTTACGACATTCTATCGGAATGCCCTTTTAAAATCGCCAAACTTGACTCCGTCACGTCCACTTCCTCGGTGTAGGACTCAGAAATGCTACAAACAGAAAGTTTTGAGTCTTTTCAGTGCAAACAGAGGGATCACGCCTTTTTGGTGATTGAAAGTGACAACGGAGCGTTCTTTATAATTAACGAGGGGAGCAAATGATTCAGCGAATAATTCCGTCGCCGAATGATGATTTTAGATATATGAAATTCATATATTTGCACTGCGGTGAAGAGATGAAAGTAAGAGATCCTCGCAGCTAAGAACATTACTGAAACGAATAGTTGAAAATAGGACCTGAAAAAATGCAGGCCCGTACGGGATTTGAACCCATGAGCTCTGTGATACCGGTGCAGCGCTATACCAATTGAGATAACAAGCCAACTGGGAGCTGGTTAATGTGTCAGGTCCAAATAAACCATCCAAGCGATGAATGATGATTTTAGATATATGAAATTCACTATATATATGAAATTCCGTCGCCATTTACCATGTTTTGAGTAAGCCAGGAGAATGTACTGCTCTTCATCGCCATGATACTAAAGACGCGAGGGTACTTCCTTCTAGTTTTGCGTTTTCTGGCAAAGAATTACAGGTGCATGTCTTGTAATGAATCCAGCTTCAGTTGGAAGGATGCAACTGTTTTCATTCCACTTCACTGGAGGAAATATGTCCGCAATACTTCCCAATCAGGTGCATACATTTCTTGTTTGCATTGTATGGTTCACCAACTTTCCATGCGGTGTGGTCAGTCAGTGCTATCTGTCCGGTAAAACTTGTTGTTTCCTCTTCCTTGAAGTCCTATCCATGCTTCATGAGACGTCAACTTCGCCGTCTTCTTGAGAAGGTTTAAGAGAGACTGATTTTGGATGGCTGATGTAATTTTAGCGAGTTATCCTCCAAATTTTTGGCAGTATCTCATGGCTTCTTTCCATTCCCTGGTTGGAATGTAGAGGACTTCCATAATGAACTCAACTTTCTGGGCAAACTGATTGTGATAAAAATATGAAGGAAGACAACAAGTTAGAACGGTGCTGTAAAGAGTGAGTAAAGATAACTTTTAGAGAAGGGGAGTGGCCATTACCTCAAAAATGGATGTTTAGATGAAGAAGCCGCACTGACAACTCTTCAGATCTTTTACATGTGTCCTTGTATTTCCCACACCTGTGTCAGTACTCGCCAAACTTATTTTTCAATAAGATAATTTGGTACATTGAGATTATGATGTATTTAATTAGGCTCCCTAAAGAGTTTCTAAGCTGACATTTCGAGCTTCGTCATTCCCTCTGACGAAGGGTTAACGCTCGAAAGTCAGCTTTAGAAACTCTTCACGGTGGCTGATTTACATTATCGATTAAGTTGATAAAACCAAACTACCTTGTAATACTCCCCACCAAAGCAGCACCACAACTTCTTTAGTAACTTTCCCCTTTATATATTCATCTATATTTCAGTAGTTTGTCTTACATGTCAACACTCGCATAGTTTAGTATGGTCCGGCTACGACAAAACCATTTTAATACAAAACCCACGTAACGCTTTGCGTTACAAGTACTTTTAGCATAAATAAAGCCGAAGCCGCCTCTTTTAAATTAGGAACTTTAAGTCGTGCGAAGAAAGCTTACAGAGTTCGTTAGAGCAGAAGAACAAATGTATATTAACTTTGATGCAAACGTCTTTCGTTCGAGACCAGAGAGACTATATACATAATTATGAAATTTTAAACACCGGATTTTACATTTTTGGTTTTCTGATCTATTTAATTAATACTATTAAAACAACTTTATTAAAGTCCAGGCTCTACCTACATACTACATTGCCGAAGAAAAAAGATCTTTTTGACGAGAAAGGAAAACGTATGTATATTTAATATATATATATATATATATATATATATATATATATATATATATATATATATATATATATATATATATATATATATATATATATATATATATATATATATATATATATATATATATATATATAATATATTCAAATTTGCAACGGTTTTGAAAACGAGCGTATATAAATATAATTATATCATCTTTGTTTTACCTTCTCAACTTAAAAATGGGAAATAGATAAAATGCTGTATATTACATCAACGTTTTTAGGTCCAGAAAAATATAACGTTGCCACAACAGAAAGAACAACCTGTTACTTTCACAATTTCGCGATGACTCAAATTTTGCGCTACAATTTCCTCGCTCTACCAGGACCTTTACTTGAGAAAGCTCACCTCAGTTTAAATCTGTTGCAATGGCTATAATATTGGCACAGCACCGCAAAACATTTTTAAATGCCGGTGTTGAATTTTCATTCGATCGTACAGCGTTGCACACTTCATTTGATTTAAGTTTTGTTCTTTTAGCGCTCGGAAGTAACATTGACTCCAGGTCACTTAAATTTGAATAAAATTAAATGTTAATTTCCACTGCGTAATCGAAATTGGAAATTTATAAAGCAAGTATTCCACTCGCACTTGTTGGATACGAAATTTGTTATAACCAACTCGGCGCTATGTGGCTTGTTAGCGACATGTATTTCCATCTCACAATTTCACGATGACTTTCAAATTTTGCGCTGCAATTTCCCGCACGCTCTCCCAGAAGCTTTAGTTGAGAAAGCTCACCTTTGAAGTTTGCTCCAGTAGCCATAATATTGGCACAGCACCGCAAAATATTTTTAAATGCCGGAGGTGAATTTTAATTTCATTTGGTCGTACAGCGTTGCACATTTCATTTGATTCAAGTTTTGCTCTTTTAGTGTTCGGTAGTAACATTGACTTCCGGTCGCTTAAGTTTGAATAAACTTTAAAGTTAATTCCCACGTCATAATTGGAAATTTATAAAGCAAGTATTCCACTAACGCTTGTTGGATACGAAATTTGTTATAGCCAAATCGGCGCTACGTGGCTTGTTGGCGACATGTATTTCCATCTAATATCCAACAAACGCTCGTGGAATAAGGAAACGATAGACCTTTAAGCTTAATAATCTCTCGGCTGGAGATCAGTGCGTTGCAGCAGCCGTGTGTTCCTCAATTGATGAAAAGGAACACGTTCACACGAGCAATGGTTCCTGAATTACTCATTCATGAAGCACGTTTTCCCAAAACAGGAACAAATACGCCTCATGCGGATTTAATCACACTCGCCCTTCTACAAAATTGACGCGTCACAAATCAAATTGGGCCATAATCACGCGTATACACCCTTTGTTACCCTATTTTGTGTTGAAAGGCTTTTGCGTGCCTACCAGTAAGCTGTTAAAACGTTTTTCATTTTCAGAATCTATAGTTTTTAAGCTTTACAGTGTTATATAGGGTGCATATAATTTACCATGGTTTCTCTTAAATAGTGCACCTAAGTCGATTTCTTCCTGAAGGCGTCTTATTTTGTCACAGGCGTCCCAAGCTCAAGTCTCGAGAAAAAGCGAAGGAATGATTAATTCATGAGGGCGTCACGCGTTGTGTGACTCGGTGTGGTGTTAAGTTACCGTTTAGAATTAGGACACGTTATAAGGAATAGAATGGGAAACGAAATATGGTCGATTTACGACGGTAACAATTTCGAAATATGAACATTCTAAACGTAAAATCAATAAACTTACTCACATCTTGTGTGTGCGTTGTAGTTTCTGGCGAATTGCACCGCGTTCGCCCCCTATCGAGTTCGCCCCTACCTTATGCCGTGTTCGCCCCCTCACTTTTCGAGTTCGACCCCATCAAGTCGAGTTCGCCCCTTGATTGAGTGATATCCAGATGAGTTGATTTGTGACGAAGGCACTAACAGAATGTGCCAAATGTCACGTCAGCGACGACCATTTTGCTTAGCTTATTATTCAGACTGGAAAAGATGTAAAACAACCTGGGTTTATCTAACGAACACGAAATGTGTTGATCGTAACAACCAGACTTGAGAAGATGCAAACCACGCTTTCATCGCGACAGCATTGCTTAAGTTGTAAGACTTGTACCTCGTTTAGCTTTATTTATGAAATTAAGACTGAAGAATTTACGAAACCACGATTTGATCACGCTTTTGATTACTTAAGACTTCTTGAGAGAATGTGTTGCACACTTCATTGTGTTTTAAGGTCATAGCAACCAGACTTGAGAAAATGCAAACCAGGATCGCAAACCACGTTTTCGTCTCCCTAGCTCCCACGCACATATAAACTTTTAAAATGGTCGTCGGTCAATTAAAATTCAAAACTTGTCTTGGTTCTAACTTGTTTGCAAAGTTCGATAGAAACTAATTTAGACATGACTCAATCTGGGGGCGAACTCGACTTGGTGGGGTCGAACTCGAAAAGTGTGGGGGCGAACACGGTATAAGGTAGGGCCGAACTCGAAGGGGCGAACTTGATAGGGGGCGAAAGCGGCGGATACCGTTTCTGGCGATTTCTGCCATTTTAAGCGGTCAGTGTAAAACGCAAACCGTAGACGGCAGACCGCAGGCCGGGGATAAACTGCAGACTGAGGGTTAAATGTAGACTAAAGACTGCAGACTAGGGGTAAAATGCAGACTCGGTTCTAAAACAACCCGCATATCCTGAAAAACTTCAAAAGTGAGCTGGGATCGAGGCCGCCGAAGTCGTGAGAGACTGGCAGTAATTGTCTTCCTCGGATGGTTTTCGTGTTGAAGTATTGTTTTATGGTAAGAACGATTAGAAACGCAAGTGTTCGAATATGCAGTTCACATGTATACTTTGTTTGGCCTTTAAAATGAGTAGTAGCGATGGA